TTTAATCACACTATGAACCCTGAGATTGTGTTAGTTGCTGGAAAAAAAAACCTGTTTCTAGTTGTGTGGCTCAGCCCTAGCACACACCTTTAATCTAGCAACTTTCTGCTTGAATATTATAAACAGGATTAAATAAAGTCAGCCATAGGTCAAGAGTTGGAGCAAGCAACCAGTTGACAGGAATAATCTTAAGATTATTAAGAAAAAAACCATAGAGAGTAAGAGGGAGTCAGGAGGATAGATAGATGCCCAAGAAGTAGAAGGGAGGGACATTTTATTTTAATTTGAGTAGGTTTTTCAGACAGAGAAGATCTCCTACAAGGGCTTCTCATAGGAGAAGAAGGCTTCTGGCATGTCAGCGAAGGAGAAAGGTCAGCTGGGTGCTGTCTCTGATCTAGAGGCTTTGACCCCAACATCTATCTGGCTCCCAAGTCTTTTGTATAAAATCCAATATTTAAGATTTTGTTAAAAACAAGTTTCTTCTGACAGTTCAACTCTTTCATTTCAGTTAGTGTACTTTTTCAACTCCAGGATTTCTATTTGATTCCTTTTTATAATTTCTCTCACTGGGATGGAAGATACTGAGGATTGAGTTTAGGGCCTGTGCATGCTAGGTAAATGCTGTGCCACTGAGCTATTCCAGCCCCATAGCATAAATAATTTATAATTTATAATGGTTTTAGACAGCTCTCCCCCCAATCTACATGCACACATATGCACTCCGTGTTGGATCAAACACTACACATGCTAGACAAGTGTTTGTGCTTCTTTTTTTTTCTTAAAGATTTATTTATTTATCATGTATACTGTGCATGCCAGAAGAGTGCACCAGATCCCATTACAGATGGCTGTGAGTCACCATGTGGTTGCTGGGAATTGAACTCAGGACCTCTGGAAGAACAGTCAGTGCTCTTAACTCCTGAGCCATCTCTCCAGCTCCCGCATTTGTACTTCTAAACTACATCCTCATCCATGGTTTCTAGTGATACGTCACTGACAAATTGTTATTTCCTTATATGTGAAGGACACCTCCTCCCTCTTGCTATTTTTAAGGTTTTCTGTCTTTGGCTTTCTTTACCAGTTTATGACTTGTCTAGATGTGATTTTTGTGTTTATCCCACTGGATCTTTAGAACGGCCCCCATTTGCCTGCTTAGTCCCCAGTGGATTAGGTGTATCCTTGTTGGAGGAGGCATGTCCCTCAGGGCCGGTCTTGAGGTTTCAAAAGCCAGGCCAGTTGTGTGTGTGTGTTTGTATCTGTCTGTTTCTCTCTCTCTCTCTCTCTCTCTCTCTCTCTCTCTCTCTCTCTGTCTTTTTTTTCCCTCCCTTTTCTTTCTTTGCCTGCCTCCCCAATTAAATGTTTTCTTTTTTTATAGATTTTATTTAAATTAGAAACAATCTTATTTTACATATCAATTCCAGTTCCTTCTCCCTCCCATCCTCCCATGCCCCCCACCAACCCCCCCCATCCCATCCCCCATCCACTCCCCAGGAAGGGTGAGGCCTTCCATGAAGGATCATCAAAATCTGTTAAGTCATTTGGAGCAGGGCCTAGGCCCTCCCCTGTGTATCTAGGCTAAGAGAGTATCCCTCCATGGGAAATGGGCTCCCAAAATCCATTCATGCACTAGGGATACATCCTGCTACTGACACCAACATTCAGGGGGCCTGGTTTGGTCCCATGTTGGTTCCCCAGCTGTCAGACTGGGGTCCATGAGTTCCCACTTGCTCAGGTCAGCTGTTTCTATAGGTTTTCCCAATGTGGTCTTGAACCCTTTGATCATCCCTCCTCCCTCTCTGAGACTGGATTCCAGGACTTTGGCTCAGTGCTCGGCTTTGGATATCTGCTTCTGCTTCCATCAGCAAATGCTTTCTTTTTATGAGAGTTGTTTTGGTCATAGTGTCTCTTCACAGCAATAGAACAGTATCCAAGACTGTAAGTTCCTTGGATTTGTAGACTTGTGTTTTGTTTTACCAAATATGAGTGGGTTTGTTTGCTTGTTTGGTTTGGTTTGGTTTTTCAAGAAAGGGCTTCTCTGTGTAGTCCCAGCTGTCCTGGAACTCGCTCTGTAGACCAAGCTAGTCTTGAACTCAATGATCCACTTGCCTCTGCCTCCTAGTGCTGGGATTAAAGGTATATGCCACTTATGGATCTGCTTTGAAGTCTCCTAAACTCAACCTCTGGACTAACTGTAGTTCCAGAGCACCCAGTACCCTCTTCTGGTCTATGAGGGCACTGCACGCATGTGATACACATAGAGACAAGCAGTCACATATACATCAATTAAAATTAAGTAAAACTTTAGAAATGAAAAATATTTTTTGTAGTTAAATCTTTGCAAACACTATTACTTTCTTAAAATCCTTTCTTAGAAGCACTTATTGTGTTTTTTTAAAAAAAAATGTATACATCTGGCCAGGCATTGGTGGTGCACGCCTTTAATCCCAGCACTCAGGAGACAGAGGCAGGTGCATCTCTGTGAGTTTGAGTCCAGCCTGGTCTACAAGAGCTAGTTCCAGGACAGGCTCCAAAGCCACAGAGAAACCCTGTCTCGAAAAACCAAAAATAAATAAATAAATAATCCAAAATGTGAAATGTTCCAAAGTCTAAAACTTTTTTTTAAACTTTGTGTATGCAAGCAGAGGAGGACATTGAATGTCCTCTATTACTTCTTCCTTATTCCCTTGAGACAGGGTCTCTCAGCCTTGAGCTTTGGGTAGCAAGTCCCAACAATCCTCCTGTCTCTGTCTTCCGCCAAGTACTGGGGTTCTAGGCATTCAGATCCACATCCACCTTTTTATGTGGGCACTGGGGATTTAAACTTGAGTCCTCACTGTTGCACAGTGAGCACTCTTACCCACTGAGCCAGTGTCCAGTCCCTTCAAATCCAAAGCTTTTTGAACACTGATATACTACCACTAATATTTTTAAAAAATACAATTTGGAAACACTTCTGATCCTAAGCATGTTTTGCTGTTGTTTTCCTTGTTGTTTTTTTTATGTGTATGGATGTTTTGCCTGCATGTATGTCTATGCACCACTTGCATGCCTGGTACCTGGAAAGTCCAGAAGAGGGTATCAGATCATCTGGAATTAGAATTACAGATGGCTGTGAGGCACCATCTGGGTGCTAGGAATTGAACCCAAGTCCTCTGTAAGACCAGTTGGTGTTCTTAATTGTTGAGCCATTTCTTCATCCCCCTTTAAAAATACTTATTGCTGGAGAGATGGCTTAGCTGTTAAGAGCACTGGCCGCTCTTCCAAAGGTCCCAAGTTCAATTCCCAGCAACCACATGGTGGCTCATAACTATCTATAAAAATACTTATATTGTCAGGCGTTGTTGGTGCACACCTTAATCCCAGCACTGGGGAGGTAGAGGCAGAGGCAGGTGGATCTCTGTGAGTTTGAAGCCAGCCTAGTCTACAGAGTAAGATCCAGGACAGGCTCCAAAGCTACAGAGAAACCCTGTCTCAAAAAACCAAAAAAAACAAAAAAACAAAAAAACTTACTGTTTCATATGGAGGCATGCAAGTGCCACTGTGAGAGCATGGAATCAGAGGACAACTTGTGAGAATCAGTCCTTTCCTTCTACCATCTGAGTCCCAGGGATCAAATGTAGAATAAACCCCTTTGAATACGTCCTTTTGGTTCTCAGTTCAACAGGACTTTCTAGCCAGTTTTTACTGTACTTTGGTGGCACAGTCTTCCAGCTGTATGTCATTTGGCTGTATGTTTAAGATAGTTGGTGTGAGAAGGTACTTCCTGGAACCCTGGCCTGAGCATGTGGTAGCAGAAGGCTGTAGGTGTGAGCTATGGCAAGTTCATTTCCCTCTTCCCCTACCCACTCATGACTGCTTACAAAGAGCCCCTTAGCGATCCTGGAGTGAATCCCCTCAGCTGCTCTTTTGGGGTTAAAACAACTTCCTGTCTGAAATGATGGCATGTAGTGGTAGTTGGTGGTTAGCTTTTTTCATGCCTTTATTTGGCAAAGTTCATGGCTGCAATCTTCTGTGTCTCCACATTTCCTCTTTGTTTTCTGTCAGATTTGGTTTTGGTTTTAATTTTACAGGTGCACTGATACATAAAAGACACAACTCCATTGTTGTAACTTAGTTCTTCCAGTTCTTGTTTCAATTTTTGAGAAAGGATCTCTCTGTATCGTGCTGGCTGATCTCAAACTCATGATCACCCTGCCTTGGGCATCCAAGTACGCATGCCCACGGAGGTCCTCAGTTTCTAACACATCTGCCTTGAATATAAGTGTCACGGGCATCACGTTTGCTGAGAGGTAATGAGCTACAGTCACATGGTGCTCTGCTACATTGTCACATAACCTAGAAAGCTGATAGAAACACAAGCCATCTCCCCAAACTAGCCCTGTGTGTCCTAACAGAAAATTCCTCTGTGTGTGTGTGTGTGTGTGTGTGTGTATTTTAGAGTATATATATATGTGTGTGAGTGCATTCTGTGCATTTATATGTATGTGTACGTGTGTGTTTAGTGTGCATAGCTGGCATGGATATGGGATTTTGACTAGTTACAAAGTCTCGGCCAACTCAGCCAGCTTTATTTGTAAAATATAGAAGTCAAGGCTTAGATGTAGTGATGAGACAATTGTCTAAAAACATAGAGATTTAAAAAATGACAGAGAACTGGGAATGTAGTGCCTTTAGAGAGTGCTTGCTTAGTATAGTGAAGACTTGGATTCAGGCTCCCTCCTGTCATGGGAGAAGTTAAGCTATTCTCTGCCTTGGCACAAGCATAGTGGTCCATACCTGTAATTGCAGAACTCAGTAGGCTCTCAAGGCTACAGATTAAGTGAATTTTCAATAAATTACTAAAAACAAAAACCCTAGCTTTTTGAAACATCCTTTTTTTTTTTTCCTTAAAGCCATTCTCTACCTCCTCTGGGTTGAGCTTTGACGTCATCTGGGCCCAAGAGGAGCAAGTCTGTCTTTGCCCCAAGCCCCCTCCCTTCCTGTCTCTCATTTTGCTCCTAACTGGTTGCTGCTAACCTACAGCCTGTCTCTGTCACCCTAGATGTGGACAATGGCTACTATACTGTTAAATTTGACTCACTGCTGCTGAAGGAGGCTGTGGTAGAGGGAGACAGCATCCTGCCTCCTCTGCGCACAGAGGCTACAGAGTCATCTGACTCAGACAGTGGTGATGCAAGTGACTCCAGCTATGCCAGAGGTATGGCAGAAATCAGTACCCAGAAGCCAGGCTGGTCAGGGAATAGACCTAGACAGGCACCCAGCTGTCAGGATAATTGTAGAACAAGTGATGTGGTGAGAAGCTTAGCACAGTAATCTACAGGAGAGGGCCCAAAGGACCAGAGTGTGTGTGATGGGCCTGGGTAAGACCTAAGACCTAGCTTTTGCCTTTAAGAAACAGACACAACAATCATATGTAAGAGTCAGAACTCCCTGAAGCAAGATAGCACCTCACTGTCAGAATGGAATGTTGGTGCTAGGTCTGCCAAGGAGTCACAGGAAGTAACTGAATGTAGAACATAGGAAAGGTTGGCTTCTTCAGATGGCTTCCCAGATTTAGAGCTTGGGTGCCTGGTAGGTAGGGGAGAAGAGATCTCTGCAGATGGAAAATGTGTCTAGGTAAAATAGAGAGTTCAGGAAATTAGGTAATATATAATCCTCCTGAGAGATTGGTTAGGATGAAGACAGGAAGGAGTATCAGGGAACCTGTGATGTGAGTTGGTAGTTTCTGAGCTCCTATCCATGGTGGCAGATAGTAAGCTAAAGCAGTCAAGTTGGTTACCACACAGCTATCTCTCAAGGTAGAGTTGCCAGGAGTGCCCACAGCATGTTTGGGGAACCTGAGGGGACCAGAAATCCAGGAGATCAGGCCCTACCTAGGGCCTGAGTTCTTGGGTAGTGTTGGCTAGAACCCACTACTTGGAGTCCTCTGTCTCCTGCAGTGGTGGAACCAAACACCGTGGACACCGGAACCTGCAGTTCTGCCTTTGCTGGTTGGGAGGTACATACACGAGGCATTGGCTCCAAACTCCTAGTCAAGATGGGCTATGAGTTTGGCAAGGGTGAGTGTGTGCTGCCCTGAGATGGGAGGGTTGCCTCATGATAGCCTAAGAGTCTGGCAGAGGCAGCACAAGGCCCTGTCTTTCCCAGGTTTGGGTCGGCATGCAGAAGGCCGAGTGGAGCCCATCCATGCCGTAGTGTTGCCTAGAGGGAAATCACTGGACCAGTGCACAGAGATACTACAGAAGAAGACAAAGGGAGGCCAGGCTGGGACCAATAGGCCTCCAAGATGTCGGAGGAGTGGTGGTAGACCCGAGGGCCGCCCACCCCCTCGGAATGTGTTTGACTTTCTGAATGAAAAACTGCAAAGCCAGGCGCCTGAGACCCCAGATGCTGGGGTGGACACTCCAGGGAAAAGGAACAAGGACATGTATCATGCCAGCAAAAGTGCCAAGCAGGCTCTGAGTCTGCAGCTCTTCCAGACTGAGGAGAAGATTGAGCGGACCCAACGGGACATCCGGGGCATCCAGGAGGCCCTAACCCGGAATGCTGGCCGGTATGTGTGGGGTCCAGCTGAGGCAGTATGGGCTCCAGTGGCTGTGCCCGCAGGGTACCTGCTAAAGGTCACCGATCTCAGTAGCCCCTGAGTCTGAAGTGGTCTGAATATTGGAGAATGGGCATTGGCCACAGCATCTGGGGGCCTGGTAGTGGGGAGCCAGGAGATAATGCTGACCAGCAGGCTCTCCCTAGGCACAGCATGGCAACAGCCCATCTGCAGGAGAAGCTGGAGGGAGCCCAGCGGAAACTGGGTCAGCTGCGTGCTCAAGAAGCTGGCCTACAGAGGGAGCAGCGGAAGGCAGATACCCACAGGAAGATGACAGAGTTTTAGCAGCCCTGCCTATATTGTGGACAGAGCCCTGGGACCAACTCCAAACTGCGTTGGCAGAAAGACGGCTGGCACCCTGACACTTGAACCTGGAAGAGGGTTCAGCCCATTCCAAGGCTGTCCCTTGTTCAGCCTTGTCAGCCTAACGTGTATGAATACTACTGAGTAGACATGGGGTGTCAGGGTTGATTTTGAACATTTATTTGCCCACCAAGCCCATCTACCAGTGTCTTGGGGTAGCTCCTTAGGACATTAAAGTGATTTCATCACAATTTCTCTCACTGGAGACTCAACTGTCTTCAGGATCTCTGGGGACAAATGGATCTGTGTAGGTCCTTGCGACAGACAGGTGGACTGGGGGTGGGAAGGTCCCAAATGAGGCCACTGCCTCTGTTCAAGGCCCAAGAGTCCAAAAAAGGAGCATCTTCCCTCTTCTCCCTTCTCTGACCAAGTGGGTAAGATCTTAGGGTAGCTCTTCAGTGCCCAGTACTCATAAGCAGGTAGGGTATATGAAATAGAAACACTGTTGGGAACTCCATCAGTGATGAAAGCAGGCAGGCCTGACTCAAGTGAGTTTGGGGTTCATTTCTGGTTTTCAGTTGCCACTGATAATCCATCCAGTTGACCTGCTCTGTCCACCTCATTCATGAGTATCTGCCACATTGGGGTGGAGTTTTGTGTTAGTTTTGTGGTAATTGCCTATTGATGGCAAATAACCATGATGAGATGTGAGGCGGTGAGCGGAGACTGGGAGCAACTGCGCAAGAGCTATGCGGCTGCTGGGAGGTGCTCTGAGATACACAGGAAATGAGGTGAGGAGCTCACCAACAGCCCACAAAGACCTTCCTGGCTGACAGGGCCAAGCAGCAACTCCTTGTGGCCTTGGTAAGTGCCTGCCCTTTCCTCCATCCTGGGCCAGTCCCCAAGCCTCTCCATGCCCTGGGGTCTGGGAGGGACAGGCCCTGCCTGATCAGGCCGTTGAGACTTGGCTGTAGCCACGTCAGTCAACTTGGACCCCTGTGTGTAAGATGTCTATACCCCAAGCTTGAACAGACAGGTCCTCACCCCAGAAGGCTGTCTACCCTCATTTTGCTCACCTCTTGGGTGAGCCCCTAATCAGCTTTTCCAAGGCCAACTCCAGGAAAAGCAGGGATCCTGGGAAGGGAGGAGTAGGGTGGGGATACTTTGCCTTCATAACAGTACTCCTGTTCAGTGATCCTCCCCACTCCCACCTCTTAGCTTCTGTAGGGAGTAGTCTAAGAACATCACCTGACACAAGGGGTCACTCCTGGGCAGTGGTGGCTGGAGGTGTGATCTGTGGTCTGTGGCTCAAAGTCAGAGTGATGTCAGGGATTCCCCCAGGTAATGGGTTTGAGCTACAGTATAGCCTTGTTCAGGTCATAGCTGCCCTGGCCATGCTCTTCCATCCCCATAGCCATTCCTGGTAACTAAAGGAGTAGGCAGGGCCTCACCCTTTTACCAGGAACCCTAGCCAGAGAAGAAAAAGTAGGTGCCTGTGGGGCAGGGCACATATGAAAGGCCTGGGGGTTTCCGGTGTGCTGAGTCAACCAGGGAGGAAGAACCCACCATCTGGGCAAGATCTGCAAATAGAGCTGCAGGTGTGCACTGGTCCCTCAGTCAGCCCCCAGCGCTCATCTCTTCTGTCCCCAGGTCCCCTTTTCTGCTTTTACAAGATGAGGCCACCAGTGCCTTCAGCCCCACTAGCCCTCTTGTTCCTGGGGTGCTTCTCCCTGCTCCTCTGGCTGTGGGCACTGTGCACAGCCTGTCACAGGTATGTGCCTGGGTTCTGTCTGCCCTCACCATTCATGGCTCAGAGTCAGAAGTCACAACAGAGAAGTCCGTATGAGGGTTCTGCATGTGCCTCTACACTGAGCCTGGGCCAGCATTTCTGATCACCCCGCGCCTTCCTCTGCCTACTGGACTAACGGCACTCTTGCCCCCAGGAAGCGGGCTCAAAGGCAACAAACTGGGCTGCAGGGCAGTTTGATACCAGTGGAAATGGTGAGTGCCAGACTGTCCCTGGGGTCAGGGCAGGAATAGCAGGGCATCAACCAGTCTTCCTTGCCCCTAGTCACTGCTGAGACAGACCCACCTCTGCTCCCTCAGCAAGTCTGACACCAGATTGCACGAGCTTCACCAAGGCACACGCTGTAGCATAGGTGAGCTCCTGGGAGGCCATTAATGTAGGGCTGGCCCACTGGGGCCAGTCCTGTTGCTTTAGCCCCTCGGTGACCTCTGCCTTGATCTTATCCGTAGCCCCACGGCCTGCTAGCATGGATTTCCTGCACCCACACTGGCTGGAGGCATCCAGGGGCAGCACCAGGTCTCAGGTAACCCCCTCTGCCTTCTCATCTCGGCAGCTGCCCAGGGCCCCTCCTGCTGCCCCTGCAACTGCATCTTCTACTAGCCCTGAGGCCACTTACTCCAATGTGGGGTTGGCTGCAATTCCCAGGGCCAGCCTGGCTGCTAGCCCTATGGTGTGGGCTGGAACACAGCTGACCATTAGCTGTGCGAAGCTTGGGCCTGGGGCTGAGTATGCCTGCATCCAGAAGCACAAAGAGACAGAACAGGGCTACCAAGAATCACAGCAGAAGACCAAGATGATCCCAGCTCCTCAGGTAAAGTGAGCCTGGGTAGGGTAAGGTAGACGGAACTGAGCCCACCCTTTTCAGAGGACAATGCCAAGCCCTCCCTGGGTTTGCTTCCTCTCCCCAGATGGATCTCCTGTACTCCAGGGTCTGCAAGCCTAAAAGGAGAGACCCAAGACCTGTCACAGATGAGCCGGACCCCCAGGGTGGGAGAGCAATTCTGGCCCTTGGGAGTGATGTGGAATATGAGGCCATCACTCTCAGGGGCCAAGATGTCAACCAAGATCCCTTAGAAAATGTATATGAGAGCATCAGGGAGGTGGGCCCCTGAACACTGGAGGCTTCACATCCTGTTTATTAACATGCGCTGACTTAGTAAGGATGCCCAGGCTTCTGCAGGGTTGATTGCAGATCCTTCTTCTAACCCACAGCTGACAGTACAAGTTTCAGGTCCAGACCTTGTGGCCTAATTAAACCTCTGTCACATAATGTTGGCTCTCAGTTGCTTTTTTTAAAGGCTGGAAAGGTTATAGATTTCCCTTTCTGATCTTCATGAGAGTTCCCTCATACCTGGTCCCTGGCCCCTGAGGCCGTGACCTGGTTGTCAGATTCAGAAGTCAGAGTAGGCCAGGAGAAAAAAGGCAAACAAGCCTTTTGCTGTGGTGGTTTCCCAGGCTGGAGGGTCTGGGACAGCATGGTCAGTTGGGAGAGTGGGATCTGGGCCCTCATCCTCCAGGAGCCTCTGCCACCAACCCTTGAGGTTACATAAGTAGGTGGACGTAGACAGTCTGGCATTAAAGAATCTGCGACTAGGAGGCCAGCCAAGAAGGTGCAACCTCTTCCCAGCTCACCTTGCACCGAGTGGGGTGGGGGTTAGGGGGTTAGGGGGTGCAGAAGCAGCCCTCCAGCTGCAGGGTGCTCAGAGTGGAGGCTGTCAGCTGGAGTAGTTGAGCGGCCCCTGCACTAGCCCAAATTTGAGCGGGGCAGGGCAAGGTGTGAACCACTTGGGGTGTTTGCCATGTGTCAGCCAATGGACGTGCGCACTGGAGCAGAACGCATAGGGGGTATAGTCAGGCAACTTCTGGCCAGATCCTGAGTGGGTGTCGACCGGCCTGGCCCCAGCCTGGGGCCCAATCAAGAGAGTCTAGCCTTACTTCTATAAAAGGCTTCTGGATGACCATGGAGGCCCAGAACTGGGTCCAGTCTGCGAAAGTCACCCGCCCCACTCTGAAGTGTTTGTAGCCTCCCCAGATCCTAGTGGGAGGCAGATCACGACTAGTGCCTGAGTGCGGAGGGCCTGAGTTGGAGCGCCACACTGGTTATAGTGCCCACGCCTCCACAGGTACCGGTGGGCAGGGGCACTGCCCAAGTTTCTTTCCCTGCAAAGACGGCATCGGGCTGCGTAAACTTTGGTCATCACATCTGGGAGTGCTGTGTCGTCCTGTGTGTGCATGTGTTGGGGCGTGTGTTTGGGCGTGGCCGTGAGTCGGGTCTAGTGAAGCAGAGAGGCCAAGCAGATGCTTCCCGCCACCGAAAACACGGGGCAGGATTAGGGCGAGGCCATGTGGGCCACACAACACGCTGTATCTGGTGTGGGAATTGGGCACCAAGTAGATTTGAGGTGGAGTCTGGGGTCCCCAGGCCAACTCCTCCACGGAGACCCCACTCCCACCCATTTTCAGGGGCCCTTGTATAGGTGGCAGCCATGCATGCTTGGAGTTCTCAGAGTCACAAGAACCTCAGGCTGTGGACCCAGGAGCCTCAGGGAACCAAGACTGGAGCCTTAGCACGGCTCCCAATGACTTCTGTGCATACCACAGTGGCAGTAAGAAGGTGAGGTAGAGACTAATGCCCCAAGACTAGGAGTGTATATACGTGTGCCAGTATGTGCTGGAGTGGTAGATGCTGGCACAGATATCATCCTTTGAAGGCTTCGGTGGAGAACCAGTCAGAGTCTGAACCTGGCTATCTAGGACTCTATGGGTCCCTGGCTTCCACTTCCCCACTTGCCAGCCCTATACTCCTGACCATGCAGCAGGGTCTGACCATGCAGCCCCCTAGGGCCTGGGGACTTGCCTGTACTTAGAGCACAGTCTCCCTGACCTCTGCCACAGGCTTGCTGCTCTACCGTCCTAGACCTGGCACTTGGCCCACAGTTGCTATCTCACATCCGTGGTTAATGTGTGATGGCGGGAAGGGCTGAGCCATTGCTGGCCTCGCCCCTTATAGTGGGCTTTCAGACCTCTGCTCAGCACCAGGGTCTGAAGGAACCCTTGTGGAACAAAGCACAGTTTATTGAGAACTCAGGCTTTTGTGGATCCCCATCCTGCTCTATGGTTCCTGGATTTTCAGCTCTGCAACCAGAGATGGGGGTGGGACCAGACCTCCTATCCAGAACTTGGACGCAGCCTGATGCCCACACTGCAGGCCTGCAACTGTATGCTGGACCAGGGGAGGGGCTTAGAGCACTTATTGAGCCCTGACCTCATCTCAAGACTACCCCCAGGAAAAGCCCAGCTAGAAGAGGTCATGGCTGCTGCAGCCCTTACAAGCCTATCTACCCCCACCACCCCTTTATCTGGGAGACCCAGATGCAACGTTAAGCCCAGGTGAGAATCAGAAACTTATGCTCAAGTATGGGCAGGGTCCAGAACTTCTGTTATTCCAGAATACTGAAGCCACCAAGCCTCTATGGGGCAAGCAGTGCCCCAAACCTAACATGTCACCTTCTAAACTTGCCTCAAGGTCTATGAAGAGACATCTGGACCCTGAGTGCCCCTCACTGAGGTCAAAACAGTACCTCCACTTTGCTGGCCATGCTGCTTCCTGGCCATGCCAAGCACCCCTACCTTTCCTCGGCCAAATTCTCTTAGTTGTCCCCAGTCCACAAGGCTCACCTGAACAGGTGGCAACTCACAATCAGGGACTTGGAGAGAGCCAGCAGGCAGCAATTTCTGCAAAGAAGCTTGAGCCTTCCAAGCTCCTGAATGGAGTGTCCCTGCAGAGTCTGGCTTGGAGCTCTGGAAGGAGGCCCTGGTTCATCTCTCAGCCAGCTACAGCAGCAGCAGCAGCAGCAACAGTGGAAACAGGCTGGGACCTGGCCAGCCACCAGTCATCTCCATCCACTCCGTTATCCCTGCTGCCCCCTGAAGCAACTCACTTTTTGTTTGAGGAAGTCACCCTAGAAAAAGGAAGGTAAGTGTGGGGAAATCCCCTACAGAGGTGGGCTGGACAGGGTGGCTACTGTTGACCTAGGCCACTATCACTCCAGAGCTCTATTCATGTTCCAGTGCCTGTGGAAGAGTGGTGGGAAGGTGCTGAGCACAGCATTGGAGATGCAGAAACACACCCACCTGGTGCACCTGGGGTGCGGTGGGATTGGGTGGCTTGGTCAGGGGGAGAAAAGCCCTAGATAGAACTTAAGCTCTCACCTCTCTATTCTTGGCAGGAGACAGCATGAGATCAGGCCTAGATAGAACTTAAGCTCTCACCTCTCTATTCTTGGCAGGAGACAGCAGAGCCAGAGAGAGTGATGGGGAGGACTTCTACACAGAGCTGGATATTGGTATGGACATGTTGACTGATAGGTTGTCCAGCCTGACCCCAGTGTCTCCTACAGTTTCCATGCCACTCATCATTCCTCATGTGGGGCTCCCAGAGCTACTGGAGCCTCCAGTTCTTCCCAACCTGCTATAGCCCCTAACTTTGTTTCCACCTCCCAAGCTTAGCCCTTCAGCTGTGTCACAGGTATGCCACAGTAACCAAGCCTACCAGTAAAGTGAGGCCACATATGGAGATTGGGGGCAGGTCTCAGAATACTCTAGATAGAAACAGCACCGAAGTTGTGGTTCCTTCCAGAGCTGCTTGGCCCCCATCCACCTGGAGCCACAGCCCAGCCCTCCTGCCAAGTTTGGGGTCAACCTAAGATATGTGTAGGTTGAGGGACTGGGCTTGTACTAGGTGGAAAGGTCTTAGCTGACAATTCTCCATGCTCCCTGCATGTCCCCTCCAGGAAGCTCCAGGGTGATGCCAAGAAGTGCTGGCAAGCGTATGGCATGGATCACAGGGACCTGTGGCGCAAAGCCTGCTGCTGGACAAAAGCCTGCTAGCAGTTCCTGGCCTCAGCCCATCCTTTACTGCTGCCTGGCCTTTTTCCCACTCCCAGCCTGAAGCTACAGCAAACCTGGACTCCTAGAGGTGGAGGAATGACTGACTACTGAAAATGCCTTGGAAGAAACCAGCCTTTTGCACTAAAGCCAAAAGTCATGTTGTCCTTTTGGTCCCAGGGTCAGCCTGCCTCCCTTGTCAAAGATGTCAGTGGGCTCTGGGGTGTCAGGGAGAGTATTCTCCTGCCCACATTTAAGGTAGTGGTTCCAGGTCCCCCTGGGGCTGACATTTTACCATGTTAATGAAGCTCAGGTGTTTTGTGTCTGGGAGAAAAATTAAAACCTGTGGGGGTTGATTGTTTGTTTAGTTTTCCAGAAACCAGTGTTACTTCCCTGGGGAGGCAATGAAGCTAGGAGGGTAATAGGAAATGGACGATAAAGCGGCTCCCTCCATTCAGGTTGAGGTCCAAGGAAGGGCACTGTTTGAAACCACACAGGAGGCATCCGCACACAGCAGCAAGTTCCCATTTTATTTAAAGTGATTGCTTTGCAAGAATGTCTACACTAATCCCATCACAGAAAGAAAACCCACAGGCAACCTGGAGCACACCTAGGCAGACAAGAAATCGCAAGAACCACTATAGAGAAGGTAATCTTTACTTGTCTGTGGATATATAGAAGCAGGTCAACAGAGCTGTGAACCTCACCAACTGATTATGACAAACCTTCTGCAAATATTAAACACATCTTCAGTACAAACACAGGTTTATAATAATTAATATAAAGTCAATATAATATAGATTATCCCCAGGGGGAAAAAAATCAACAATCTTCAAACACTGCCTTTTTTTTTTTTAACTTTTTTTTGACAGATTGAAAAAATGTTGAAAAAAAAAAATATTTAAAAATAAATATTTAAGAAAAGCACACACACAACACCCTCACTACAAGTGATTCTAAAAGAGCCACATACAAAACACAAGATCTAAAAAATAATACCACCATTAAGTATGGCTTTCTTAGGAGTTGTACATGTCATAGAATGAGCCAAAGTAAGATTATCTTTTATAATATTGCAAAAAGTTCCAGTTTTGCATTTTCTCAGGTTTTGTCTTGTTTTTAAAGGAAGATGTGCAAAATTGGAAGCATAGCTGTGTCTTTTGAGTTAGGTCCCTGTCAAGTCCTAGCAGTGTCCTGTTCCCCCAAACTCAGAGTTCAAATATGCAAATTGTTCAGGATCCAGAGATCCATAAAAAAACATATCATTTTTCCCACTTCAACCCTAACAACACCCACCCCATGGACTATATTTTCCACTTTGGTGTTACAAACACCAAAATACCGACACACGCACAAAAAATACGAAATGTGAAATGTAATCTACACATTTTCTTCATAAAAAAATATTTATTAGTTTGAACATTGAATTAAAAAAAAGTCACATAAAAACAAAAAAACAAAAAGTTTCAATACATACATTTTTTCCCTCCATGCCTCCTGAGACGGATGTGTTCATCTGGATCTCTAGAATTCCACTTTCCAATTGGAAACTGAGCCAGAACAAAGCCTGCCACATGGCAAACACTTGGAAGGTGGTGGGACCAGAAATGGGACCCTCAGTTTTCTGGTACAGTACTGGTTTTAAGGAAGTGCCCTGTGTGCCAACAGGGAACCCCAGAAAGGCCAGCAAAGGCAGTCTGGAAGGGGGGCCAGTCAGAGCAAGACACCCTGAGAGTGGAGGCAGAGGGTGCCTTGGGAGGTGGGTCAGGGGTCTGGGGTCCTGGGTCCTGGGTCCTGGGCAGGACAGCCTGAGAAGTAGGGACTGATACAAAAACCCAGAGACAGTGGTAGCAAAGGTCTAGTTTCCAAATACATTTTATAAGAAAAGTGTTTAGAAAAGGCATTTTAAAAGAGGGAGAAAGGTACTAAGTCCGAGAGCCCTCAAGGGGCCTGGCAAGGCTAGACGGTCTCAACCTAAAAGTTTGTTGGTAAAAGGGGGTCTAGTTATGTTGCCCTGCTGGACAGAAATGTACTCCAGAACCAGTATGCCTCACAGGGAGAGGAAAGTGAGTATAGGGGCTTTCAGACAACAGCTCCTACACTCTGTATAGGCTCTGTTCCTCTTGACTTTTGTTTAAAATGATAAAAGCTGTGATTCCTTCCTTCTGTAGGGCCAGCCTTGCACCCTTCTGGAGCTCAGGCAGCTGGTACTTGGGGAATGTCACCAGGTGACATATGCTCTGTATAACCATTAGGACCTAAATTACAGTTTTATGGGGCTTCCTCTTACTTAGAACAGATGTGCCATTAAAAAAAAAAAAAGAGCCTAAAAGCCATTTAACTTAGTGTTTTAGAAAGGAAAACCAAAATTCTCTAATTAGCCCTAACCCTGATGAGCCCTTGCAACAGGGTGGGGGTTAGTCCATCAGCACCTCACCAGAGTGCTCACTGAACACCATTGCAGTGGGCCTTTGGGAGATGAGGTGGGTGAGGGATGGAATGTCTTGATAGTTTGTCAGAAATGGCCCCAAGAAAAGGCAGGCTGCAGCATTTATGTCTACCCTGCAGGTTAAGTGGACATCTGCCTCTCTAGGCTCAGAGCCATGGAAATGAAGCCTATACTTTTCACAGAACAAGTGTGAGAGCCTTTAGAAATACAAGAAGAGGACTTGATGAAGAGTTAAATAAAACCACTCGAGTCCTGTCAAGTGAGAAAACAATTCAAAATAAAGTAACCTGTAGTAACCACCTGAAAATGTCTCTGACTTCTTTAAAATTTGGTTCCTAGGCAGGGAGGCATCAGCAGCACACTGCAACTAGGAACACCAACCTCCAGTGTTAGCAGCAACAAAGGCAGGAGCTTGAGCTCTATCTGGTCCAAGGAGGGGTCAGCAAGGGTGCAGGCAGAACTCAGGGTGCACAATGGGGTTCTCCAAGAAAGTGCACACACAATGAAGAGCCGTGGCCCTTGCAATTCAACCCTGTGGGCCTGAAAGGGGAAAGCATCCAGCCACAGGTCTCTTCTTGAAGAGAGCCTTCTTCCTCTTTGGCCTGCCGGTTGGGTAGCTGCTTCCAACAGAGATAGCACCTGGAGCCTAGGGCTTCCAGAGAGGCATCTGCAGCCATTTTGTGTTAAGCACCAAAGCCTGGAGGTAAGAGGGTTGCAGGGCTTTATGCCCACCAGGTTCTACCAGCTGCCACCAAGCAGCAGGAACCAAGAGGACAAAGTGACAGGGCCGTGGCCCATAACCTGACTGCCGGAGGATGGGGATGGACGAAGATTGAGCAATGCTGTGGATGGAGCAGTTTGTATTTACGCAAAACTCAACATCTACTCAGACCTGTGAGCTGGAGGATTGCCCTCATGACCCTAACTACTGCTGACCCTGACCTGGCCACTGAGTCATCTTGCATTCCTAGCCAGGTTCACAGCAAAGGGCTCCTTTGATACCTGAGGAAGCATGCCCAGGCCTTGGTGCAGTCCTGCCCATACTTCTAGACACACCTGCTGGGGACTCCATTAATACCTGGACAGGTGGGAGTAGGCATTCTCCCTTTTCCCAAACCCACACTGTACCCCTCACTTTGTGTTCGGTCCTAGTGCCCCCAGTCACTGGAGTCACACCAATTTCTTAGCCAGTTTCTGCAAGGGGGGAGGGTTATAGCACAGAAGGGCCTGTAGGAAGAAGAGCTTCAAAGATTCAGCATGGCCCTGTTCCTGGGTTAAGTAAAGACCCACTAAGACACACCCACCCTTCCCACCAGGGCAAAGCCCCTAGGAGATCCAGGCAAAGTCTTTATCGGGCTCCCCAGAGGGGCTTCGGGGCCCTTGTGGAGAGTCTTCATCATCCTTGTCATCTCCCAGCAGTGCGTCCTCAGGTGTCAAGCCCACGTCGTCCTTCCATTTGGCCACATCCTCGTCCTCATCCTCACCTAGCTCCTCCTCACCTTCCCCTCGTGGATCATCTGGGTCTTCCAGGTATGGCCCTTCACCAGCAAACAGTGCCTCAGGGGAGCCCTCACCGCCTCCACCATGGTCCAGTGACGTGCCCACACCCCGGCCAGCACAGTCTGCACATACACCGTGGCGGCGAGAACCATGCTTAATGCCCACACTGGCTGCAGACATGAACACACGGCTGCACACCTTGCACACGTACTTCTTGTCCTTGCTGTGGACCTGGAAGGACAGAACAGTTAGTGGAGGGGTGAAGTATTGGGGTGAGGAGCACAAGCTTTACTAGGCCAGGAGGGACAGTCTCTGTCGGGGAAAGGAGGTAACACATCTATCTGGAGCCAATGTGGGCAATATCTACAGAGGCAGCAAATCATCCTGTCCTAAGGAGATGCTATAAGCACCAGGGTAAACAGTGTCATGACCCCAGGCCACAAACTGGGCCAGTCCCAACATATCCATATCCAGGTACTCCCACTCAATGGTGTGTAGGTAAATTTCTCACTTGGTCATATTACTCCCTGTGCCTTAAATACCCTTCCTATAAACTTGCCTGCAGGGCAGGCTGAGAGGCTCCTATCAGATCCCTAGAGCAGCTCTGGAGGAGCCCAGTGGCCATTAGCCCTGTACAGGCAGAGGAGCTGGCCTGGCAGCCCAGGTGATACAGAGCTAAGAAAGACAACACTGCTCAGAGATTATAGTACCTTTAACTAATGATGAAATTTCCTCCTTATGGAAGGATAATGAATATTGGCAGATAGCTCTCACCGATTTTTTGGGAACAATTAGTAACAACTATCCCAAAACCGAAAGAATTAAATTCATAAAAAAGACAGTTTGGATTCTTCCATGCATTATAAGACAAACTCCCATTTCTGGAGTTCTTACTTTCTACACTGATGCTAACAAAACAGGTAAGGCTGGTTATAAAGCAGGTGAGGTAAGTAAAGTAGTTCAAAGTCCATATACATCTGTACAGAAAGCAGAATTATATGCAATTCTCATGGTGCTTATGGATTTTACAGTACCTCTTAATATAGTTACTGATTCCCAATATGCAGAGAGAGTCTTCTTACACATAGAGACTGCAGAATTCGTCCCTGATAATACTGAACTAACCTCGTTGTTCTTGCAGTTACAGGAAACAATCAGAAACAGAAGTAACCCACTGTACATTACGCATATCAGATCCCATACAGGTCTACCAGGCCCACTGGCACAAGGCAATGACGAGATCGATCATTTATTGATTGACACTGTGCTAGAAGCCTCAGAATTTCATAAAAAGCATCATGTAAATAGCA